TTTGTGTGTGATTGTGCAGCTTCTCGCTGTGAGCTGTGTGCCTGGAGGTTTAGCTTGTTCCTGCCTTGTTTTGCTTGAGGCACTTTTTTACCTTCTGCCAGTAGATATAGGATTACTTGGCAGAAGATAAAAAGTGCCTCAAGCAAAACAAAGCAGGAACAAGCTGAACCGGCAGGTACACAGTCCACAGCGAGAAGCTGCACAAACACACACAAAACACAAGCCCGAAAAGAACCAGCACTGCTGGCACCCAGACGCGGCATCGCCAGCCCAAGCGAGAAGCCGCGCAGACAACCAGTAAATCCTATAACTTCCACTGTTTCGATGACGCTCTGCAGACTTATAGGATTTACTGGCAGAAGATAAAAAGTGCCTCAAGCAAAACAAAGCAGGAACAAGCTGAACCCGCAGGTACACAGTCCACAGCGAGAAGCTGCACAAACACACACAAAACACAAGCCCGAAAAGAACCAGCACTGCTGGCACCCAGACGCGGCATCGCCAGCCCAAGCGAGAAGCCGCGCAGACAAGCAGCCTAAGGGTCAAGCAATCAAGCAACAAGCAGCAGGAGCATGCAGGAGGAATAAAATCCCTTAGACGCGATACCCGGAGGCAGCCGACTGACCACTGTCGCAGACCAGCTTCGTTCAGCATCGACCGAATCGTACGAGTAAGGTGGACGGTAATGGATTTACTGGTTGTCATGCGCCGTGGGAAGCTTGGAGGATCGGCGTTTGCAGGTCTGGAGATGATGTGCAGCAACGGAGGGGTCGAGCTCGCGCTGACATCCATCACATTCCGTCGGACACTGGCAGATCGGCATGCCATGGAGATAGCAGTCGAGCATCTGAGCATAGCGATGCGGGAAGGCCTTGAGGGGGTAGTAGCTCGAGACCCGCATCGGAGAGTGGCTCAGGTCTCGCTCAGGAAAATGAGCGAAGATGGTAGACTGCAAGACCCTATCCTGCGACTTGAGCGAGTGTGTGCAAGGTGAGGATATCACGCTGCTGATCCTAAGTTTCGACAAAAGCGATGTACGGAACACAAACAGAAGCAAAGTAACCAGCACTGCTGGCAACCAGGGCCCTACAGTGACTGCCAGCCCACGCGCGGAGCCACGTAGACAGCAGAGAGGGGCAAGCGACGAGCATGGGACGCGATACCCGGACGGGCTGCCGCCCGGGCAGGGGGTCCGCCTGGGACAGCCGCGCGGTCGCCGGGACATCGGCGTGGAGTCTGGGGGCCTTGCATGCTGATCGGACGGTACCGCTCCAAGTAATGCAAACAGTCCTCCTCACTGTCCTCAGCGGGCGCAGCGGCCGCCGAGACTCGCCCGAGACCGCCATGGCGGCGACGCTGCAGCTGAGCCTGCGACTCCGCCAGCGGCGCCTTAACCAGGCTCAGAAAGCAGCAAGGCTCGGACCAGCTCAGTGCGCCGCTGTGAGCACCCTGAGTGGCGTCGAGCTCTTCGGCGGAGGCCCCATCTCGGTCGGACGTCGGAACGGTCGAAACGGTCGGACCGTTGAACTTCGGAAGGATCCGGGCCATTCTTGATGCTTCCACCGTCAAAGTCCTAGACCTCCAGCGAAGATTCCTAGGCTCGGGCGACCCGACAGTGACAAAGTCCTCGAGGAGCGCCGCGTGACTGCCGCTGTCCAGCGTCACTGAGCTCCGAGCTCCCGGCCCTTGAAGTGACTCTAGTATGACGGTACGGTCGAGTCACGCAGTGGTCCGGGACTCCGGACCGCCGTCACGGCCCGGTGCCGGTGATCCACTGCAGGCCGGCGGGACCGTCCGACCGTAACGGTAGGCTCCGGGACTCTGCCGGCCCGGGGGACTCCGACGCCGGGACTCTGGCCCGGCGGGTCTGAGTCTTCCGCCCGGGCGGGAATGAGGGGGATGAATGAAATGAGGGGGATGATTTGATTATTCCAATCAGTTGAACAAACTATGGGCGGTGAAATGCAAGCAGAGGTAATGCGAGACGAGAAGAGAAGAGAAGAGAAGAGAGGAGAGGAGAGGAGAGGAGAGGAGAAGAGAGAGGAAGAGAGAGGAGACGAGAGGAGGAGAAGACAGAGGAGGAGGAGAGCAAAAGGATTCGGAAATGTATTGCATTAATCGGATGAATCATCTCAGGTAGTGGAGGACCTCTGCTTGGCTTTCTGCCGTGACACCCGAAGCGACTCCTCCTCCACTGCTGCAGAAAAGTTCAGGCATGCGCTTATCACGAACGCGAACGGCGAAGGTTGTGAGGAGGGAGAGGAGGAACGAGGGAAGCAGAATTAAGAATACTGCAGAGGTTCGGCTGAACCAGCTTCGTCTTGGCATACACAGTGGAGTAGCTCTGAGCAAGGCGCTCAAGACCATGATGCTGTCATCTCTCAACCTACATGGCAACGTCCTAAGAGACGTCGGAGCCATCGCTCTCCTACAGGTCACCTCGCACACCCCCTCCTCCCTTCTGACCCCTTGCAGCTTCTGCGTGGACATGAAACCCTCCGACATCTCAACTTGGGCAGGTGAGGACGATACTGAGACCTGCTCCCTCATGTTTCCTACCCTGCCGCTCCCCTCCATGCTCCTCGTCTACTTCTCTCCTGCTCCTCTCCTGCTTTTTCTCTCCTGCTCCTCGTCTGCTGCGTGTCATCGCATGCCTGACAGCAACGACATCACCCACGATGGCGGAATAGCATTTGCGCGGGAGCTGAGGTGAGAGGAGGAGGAATCGGCGGGGAGTGACGGCAGTGCAGCACTTTAAGACTTCTCTCCCTGGAGCTCGGGTCTGATTTGAGCTCAATGTACACCAACAGGTACAAGCCCTTTCTCTCGAACAATTTGTTTTTTTTTTTTTGTTGTGTTGTGTTGTGTTGTGTTGTGTTGTGTTGTGTTGTGTTTGCTACTCTTCTTATTCTCATTCTCTGCAGATTCAACAATAAAGTTGGAGTTGCCTTTGGGGAGCAGCTCAGCGCCAACACAATCCTTCGGTGCCGCTGGCGGGGGAGAGAGGAGGAGGTGATGGGCTTGAACAGGAAGCTCGGACTGTCGAACACGGGCATTGGTAGGATGGAAGACAAGCAGGAGGACGAGAAGCAGGTTGGAGGAGGAGCAGATGGAGGAGGAGGAGGAGGAGGAGGAGGTTGACGACGAACCAGGAAGCTGCACAGTCTCTCGGAAGAATGTTGAAGGTCAACACTACTCTAGAGGTAGCTCTCGCTCACATCTTTCCCTCTCCTGATCCTTCACTTGGTCAACCCGCCTGGCTCCTCTTCTTTCTTCTTGTGCTCGTCTCTTCTTCTTTCTTCTTGTGCTCGTCTCTGCTTCTTTCTTCTTGTGCTCGTCTCTTCTTCTTTCTTCTTGTGCTCGTCTCTTCTTCTTTCTTCTTGTGCTCGTCTCTTCTTCTTTCTTCTTGTGCTCGTCTCTTCTTCTTTCTTCTTGTGCTCGTCTCTTCTTCTTTCTTCTTGTGCTCGTCTCTTCTTCTTTCTTCTTGTGCTCGTCTCTTCTTCTTTCTTCTTGTGCTCGTCTCTTCTTCTTTCTTCTTGTGCTCGTCTCTTCTTCTTTCTTCTTGTGCTCGTCTCTTCTTCTTTCTTCTTGTGCTCGTCTCTTCTTCTTTCTTCTTGTGCTCGTCTCTTCTTCTTTCTTCTTGTGCTCGTCTCTTCTTCTTTCTTCTTGTGCTCGTCTCAGCCAATGGGTCGTTGCAGGAGCTCAAGGTCGCCTCCAATAACTTCGGGACAGTTGGATCAGTTCTCATCCTCAAGGTGCTCGTGCCTCTTGCTTCGCCATCCCTTACCTCCTCGTAGGGCCTCATGGAGAACAGCGCGCTGGTTGAGCTCGACCTCTCAGGAAACAACGCAGGAGCAGGTGATGAGGGAGGGGAGGGAGAGAGGTGAGGGAGGGAGGCTGAGAGAATCTCAGATGCTGGAGTGATGGCTGGAGAGACACTGACAACCAACTCGACACTGACTTGTGAGTGAGAGAGGACAGAGAGGAAGGAGGAGGGGGAGGAGGGGGTGCGCTAAGCTTGGCTTCAGGTTTCTCTCTTGCTCGCAATAAGATCGGGTTTCATGGTACCTCTGCCATGGTCTCTCCCCCCTCATCCCCCTCATACCTTCCCCCTCATCCCCTCACGCTCCTTCAGGCTGCTGCTCTCGTCTCAAACTCCCGATTGACCGTCCTCGACCTCTCCGACACTCAAATGCAGGTCTTTCTCCTCCCCCCCTGCTCCCCCCCCCCGCGTCCTGCTCCTCCCCCCCCTGCTCCTGCTCCTGCTCCTGCTCCTCCGCCACCGCCTCCTCCTCTCCCCCCCTCCTTCCTCCTCTTGCTGCTCCTGCTCCTGCTCCTGCTCTCCCTCCTGCTCTTGCTCTGTTCCCCCTACTCCCCCCCCTCCTCCTGCTCCTCCTGCTCCTCCTGCTCCTCCGCCTCGTTTTGCCTCTCATCTTAGCCTCCCTCCTCGAATCGTCTTCGTTTATCCTTCTCTTTCTTCACTCCTTCCTTTCTTTTCCTCACAGGATCGTGGATGCATTGCAATGGCAAATGCATTGGAGAGCAACTGCTGCCTGACACACTTCAATGGGAGGTGAAAGTGACGATGATGATGCTGTCTTCGAGCTTGTTTCTTCGGTGATGGTGGTGATGATGAACATCGAGATGCTGGTGCTGGTGCTTCTGCTGCTATAGTTGATGTTGATGTAAACGATGTGCATGAGCAAGGGGTTGACGATAGTGTCAGTCGGAACGGTATCTCTGAGCAAGGAGGTTTGGCATGGGCTGATACTCTGTGGGCGAATTCCACGCTAAAGGTGAGGAAGGAGAAATGGAGGAGGGAGGGAGGGAGGGAGAAGAGGAGGAGGACAGAGAAGGGATGGCTTTTGCGCTATTTGAAGGGCAGAGGACGGAGGAAGGTGGAAGGTGATGTTATGTTTGCTTCAGAGTCTCAACCTTTCAGAAAATCCTCTCGGAGATGAAGTAGCGGTCAACATAGCAGGCAAGAACAGCATGCTGCTGCTGCTGCTGCTGCTGCTCGCCTTGGTGTCTGACTTGGGCTCATCGCTTGTTTGTTTCCTTGGGAATGGAGCAGGAGTTCTCTCGCAGAACGACTCGCTGAAGAAACTAGAGCTCTCCTCCTGCAAGCTGGTGAAGCGCTGGAGAGAAAGAGAGAGAGAGCAGCTGACAGGACACAGGGAGACGAGGGGGCTCTGTCCATCATCGATGCCATAGAGGTGTGTGAGGGAGGAGGAAGAGGAGCTAGTGCCTGGTCGGGTGGGAGGAGGCGAGGCGAGGGAAGTGGACGAGGAGCCGTTGACGATGGGAGCAGAAGAACACTTCCCTCACCCGCCTGCGACTTGCCAACAACCTCATCTCCGAGACAGGAGGCATGCTTCTCGCTGGTGAGGAGGAGAAGGTGGAGAAGGAGCAGGAGGGAGGGGAGGGTAGGAGGGAGAGCATAGGAGGAGAAAGCTCAATGGCTGACCAGTCGCAGGTCGCGCATGCTTCTCTTCTTCGCGTACAGAAGGAGTGCTCGAGAAAGAAGGTGAGGGGAAGGCGAAGAGAATGAAAGGAAAGGGACTCACTATGCTCAAGCAAGCGACTGAATCAAAAGAACCAAGTGAACTAGCTGCGCAAATTCGAGTGAGCTTCGATGATGAAAATGGAGATGTTGTTGTTGTTGTTGTAGTTGTTGTTGTTGTTGTTGTTGTTGTTGTTGTTGTTGTTGTTGTTGTTGTTGTTGTTGTTGTTGTAGTTGTAGTAGTAGTAGTAGTAGTAGTAGTAGTAGTAGTAGTAGTAGTAGTAGTAGTAGTAGTAGTAGTAGTAGTAGTAGTAGTTGTTGTTGTTGTTGTTGATGATGATGATAATGATGATGATGATGGAGATGGAGATGGAGATGGAGATGGAGATGGAGATGGAGATGGAGATGGAGATGGAGATGGAGATGATGATGATGGAGATGGAGATGGAGATGATGGAGATGGAGATGGAGATGATGGAGATGGAGATGGAGATGGAGATGATGGAGATGGAGATGGAGATGGAGATGATGGAGATGGAGATGGAGATGAAGATGATGATGATGATGATGGAGATGATGATGGAGATGATGATGATGATGATGATGATGATGATGGAGATGATGATGGAGATGGAGATGATGATGATGATGATGATGATGGAAATTGAGATGGAGATGTGAAGAGGGCTGTGGTGGAGGAGAGGGAGGATGTCTAAGTGAGGTTTGAGGTATTGAAGCGGAAGGAGCAAAAGATCCTCGAGTACGAGTTCAGGTTCCCGCCTCTCTCTCTCTGCTCTGCTCTGCTCATCGCGGTCGCTCGTGAAGGATCGGGAAGGCGTTGGCGGCGCGCAAAGAGGCAGAGAAGATCCTCGGGGAAGAGAAGAGGTGAAGAAGCCTGAGGAGCAAAGGGAGACGAGAGGGGAGGTGTGAAAGGCGAGAGAGGTCGAGGAGGAAGGGGAGGGGTGAGGAGGAGGAGGAGCGGCAGGGCTGACGGGATTTCAGGATGTTCGAGGAGGCTCAGGGCGAGTGGAGGATGAAGATCGACGAGGCGCAGGGCGAGCTCAACGAGCTGTTGCAGGTTGACCGTCGGCACCTCTCCTGCTGTCCTGCCTTGTCTCCTCATCACTCGCCGCAGGCGGTGGAGGATGCGGAGCGACGGCTGGAAGAGAAGACGACGGAGAAGCAGCTTCTGCTCAAGACACACGCGGAGAGGATGGAGGTGCTGGGAGTGGAGGAGGGCAGGCGAGGCTCACAGGAAGCAGGAGATAGAGAAGGCCATCAAGCTGCACGAGGAGGAGGGGAGCAGCTGAATAAGCTCATAGCCGAGGCGACGATGCAGGTGGCAAGAGGAGGACGGCAGCCAAGGAGGAGAAGCAAGGAGGGAGAGGAAGGGGATGAGAGGAATTTCAGAGAGGAGAGAGAGAGGGAGGAGCAGGAGGCTGGTCTGACTTGGCTCGTAGCTTGCGGACGTGGAGCAGAGCAAGAAGGTCCTCACGGTCCTGCGCTTGTTGGCTGCTGCTCAACCTTGACAGGAGCGGGTGGAAGGGCTGAGAAGCGAGCTCGAGCAGAACCAGCAGCAGATCCTCGAGCTGGAGAAGGAGACAAGAGCCGCGCAGGAGAAACTGCGACAGCTGGAAGCCGAGAAGCAGCAGGCAAGCAGAACACACGCGGTGAGAGAAAGAGGAAGGAGGGAGAGAGAGGCGAAAGGCAGCAGGAGCGTCGCCCCTGTCTTGACTTTGATGTTCTAGATCGAGTCGACGAGTGCGGGAGGGCGCGAGCGGCGGTACTTGCTGCCTCCTCCTTGCGCACTTGACGTGCTGCTGCAGGAACCACCGGCAGCTCAACCACCAGCAGCAGCAGCAGCAGCGAAGAAGAAGGCGAAGGAGAAGCGAAAGTGAGAAGCAAGAAGTGGACTGTGTGAATAGGAGGGAAGTGAAGGAGGAAGAGGTGCAGGAGTGGAGGTGATCGTAGCAGGAGGAGAATGTGCAAGCGAGGGAGATGAAGAAATTTCAAGCTGAGCGCCTAGAGTCCCATAAACCACGAGACCGGCAGCTGCATAGCTGCCAGTCCGAGAACGAAGTACTCCTGGAGGAGGCGAGGTGAGGGAGAGGAAGAGAGGAGGGGGCAGACAACCTTGCCTTGGCTCCTCTGCTGAGCGCCAGCAACGTCTGCAGGAGGGTCACGAGGGCATCGCAGGTCTGAGGTCTCACTGTGTGGGATGAGCCCAGCGGAGACGGTCTTGAGCTGCTCGAGCCATCAGAGCGAGGGAGAAGACGGAGACGAGGAGGAGGAGAGGAGGGAGAAGAAGAGGAGGAGAGGAGAGGAGGGACAAGAGCAGAAGAAGGAAAGGAATAGAGGGAGGGAGAGAGGAGGAGGATCAGGAGGAGGAGGAGGAGGAGGAGAGGACAACCATGAAGAAGGACATCGCAGCGCCCGTGTAAAGCCACACGAGCCAGTAGAAACTCCTCCCGAGGAAGATGTAGGCTAACTTGGCGAGAACAATCCTGCCGCACCCGTCAGCTCATCGACTTGCCCACCACACGCCTCCTCTGCTCCCTCTCCTCTTCCTCACTTACCCGACGTACTTGTACCCACTGAATGACACGAAGTCGAGGAAGGAGGCCTGCGCGCGTTGAGCTCCTCGAGTTGCCGTCCCTTCCTTACCGCTGGGCCTTCCAGCAAGTAGAACCCCAGCTTGAGCAGAAGCACCTACCGTCCCTCAGCCTCTTGTCACACACCTCACACGCCTCACCTCAAGCACCAGCACTGTCAGCCCGCTGCTCGCCGTCTTTCCCAGCACCTGCTCGCTCGTCACACTCGCCGGCAGGACGCGGCAGGACCTCAGGCGTGAAGCTGTTCTCCCATCCCTGATTGAGCCCGCACAGCACGATGTAGGTGACAAACGCCTGGGGGGAATGAGAAGAGAGGAGGAGGAGAGGAGGAGAGGAGGAGAGGAGGAGAGGAGGAGAGGAGGAGAGGAGAGGAGGAGAGGAG